TATATATAAAAATATGTATGCGCGCGTGTGCACATACTACATTTTTGTCTAATTCAGATAAGCAATTTAATTGGATGAATGCACAAGCTATAATAATGATGTCCATAAGACTTTGTGTGGAAACATGTTTTTATTTTCAGCAAAAAGCAGAAGCACTGTGAAAAGAATTATTTGAATTACAGAGCTACTGTATTAGCATATTAATTTGGTTTTTTAGTCCTGAAAGTCGTTATCTGAAGAATAACAAATCACTTAGAAAAGAAGGCAACTAACAAGCTGAATTTAGTGTTAGAAGCTGTGCAATTTAGAACGATTTGTGTGTTCAGTCTTGGGTTTCATAAAAGAAATGCAAAAGAGGTGTTCATTAATCTAGTTTTTAGAGGTCAAAACCAAATCATCCTTTACTATAAGCTAAGGTGAACCAATGGTGCAAATCAAAACTCACTGCATAGTTGCTAGCCAAGTAATATTTTCTGTGTTTCAATACTCAGAAATATATTTCTTTCATTATAGGTACTTGCTGTAAAACTGGCTGGCCCAACCTGTTAAAAGAAAAAGTATCACATATCTATATAACAAATTATTTTTCTGACATACAAAGAAATCATAATTTAAATACATTTCACCTAAATAAGTTCTCCTACATCAAATGGGATTTTTAATCTTTATTTACTGTATCTATGACATGCCATTACCTTGGTACTCACTTCCCCTGACTTAATCCAAAAGGCCGTGGAAACCAAGCCTGATCCAATTCACCAAGCCTGCTTACTTCAATTTTTAGTGAGGAAAATGTTCTTCTGCCACACTCTCTCTCCCATACAATTCCTCTCCTTGAATTAGCAGGTATTTTATCAATATATACAAAACAATTCTTTAATTTTGTAGGCAAGAATGCCCTCTAAACCAAGGACATGATGAATCTTTAATTATGAGTGGACATATTATGATAATTTCAAATCTTGCAGATTTATAATTTTGAAGATTGATGCTGGTATTATTGCTTTTTCCTATCTAACTTTTCATTTTCACCACTATCAGCTGGATAAAAACTCACAAAGTTGACATTTACTTCTCCTTTCTCATTGGAACCGAAAGGAGAGTTATATGTCTGACATGTTTTCTACTACTCACCATGACTGATATCAGGAAAGATTTTTGCCAGTTGAGCAAGGAATAACAGATATTTAAGTATGCAACATTTAATTTCTCATTAAAAAATCGTGAAAATTTTTCTTTTTGCTCTGAGATAATAATTAGTGAATTATGCTTTATATGATTTTATATACACTTCATTCACTCCTATTCTTTTTTTTTTGTAGTTTTGTGTGTCAACCAGACAGAAAAGTAGTATTTTTCATTCTGCCCAAGCATTCTTCTTCATTATTTTTGACAAATGTAAGTTGATCTTTGTAGACTTTTGAAATGCAACCATTTCTATCAGATCTGTGCATGATTACAAAGATTTATAGCGCTTCACTTATAGAGCATCACTGAAGGGTAATAATAAACATTAGAAGAAACAGTCATTTTGGGATATATTGAGAAAATGTCAACATTACTACGCCAGCCACACCATAGCCACATTCAGTTTCTTGTGTTAAAATATAGGAAACTTACCTTTTCTATCATATATTCCATTATCTGTGAATTATGAGAGTTTATTTGCAACTAGCATTCAGAATTACACATTTGTAAGAGTGAAAATACATTGTGTTTTAAGTATTTGAGAGACAAAAATAAAAAGAGGACAGTATTTGATTTGTAAACTTATCACTTACCTTCTCTGCTGATTGGGCCGTACCAAAAAAGATTGGAATAAAAGCTAACCAAATTATGCAGGTTGTGTACATAGTAAATCCAATGGGTTTTGCTTCATTGAAGGTCTCTGGAACCCCTCTTGTTTTAATAGCATAAACAGTGCATGTGACCATCAAGAGAATACTATATCCAAGGGAACAAATGAGAGAAAGATCTGAAATGTCACATTTGAGAACTCCCCTGGCATTTTCTGGTTCAAGTGTCCTTTGTTCTCCATAGTCTACGATGGTATGTGGTGGATCAATAGCAAACCAGATGAAGACTCCAATAAGCTGCAAGGATATGAGGCTGAAAGTGATCACCAGCTGGGAAGCTGGACTAATAAATTTGGGAGCTGTGACAGATTTTTTACCTTGCTCAAATATTCTGTGAATCCTGTTAGTTTTGGTAAGCAAGGCAGCATAGCTGAAACACATGCCAAGTCCTAAAAAGATCCTTCGAAATGAGCAGACCACTGTATCAGGACTTGCAATCATCAAAAAAGTAATTGAGTAACAGAGAAAAATCCCAGTCAAAAGCACATAACTGAGCTCCCGTCCAGAGGCCCTGACTATTGGTGTGTCATTGTACCGGACAAATGTCACAATCACAAAGGTAGTGGCAATTATACCAAGAATAGCTATGAAGACGGGCACGATGGCCCAAGGAGAATGCCACTCCAGTTTGATTATAGGGATAAGCTGGCAATCTGTACGGTTGGCGTTTGGTCTCTTATTAATTGGGCACAATTCACAGTTGAATTCATCCACCTGGTAGTGGTAGCCCTCACAGCGCTCGCAGTGCCAGCAGCAGGGCACTCCCTTCACGGTTTTCTTTCTTTCCCCAGCTTTGCAGGGCAGGCTGCAGACAGATGCTGGATGAGTGCGATCTCTATTAGCCCACTGCATGTCTTCTACCTGTGGGTATAAAAAATTAATCAGCCTTCTACTTTGCCCCATTTATAATATCCTAATCCTGGCCACAGGTTTGTCATAAATCACTACATGCTGACAGTACAAATACAGTTTACCATATTAAGAAACCTGTTTCTTTCCCTTGTATTGATTTTATGAAAGTGTTAAATGATTGTGTCCAATAAATCATTCATGCCACAGGTGTGATGAGTGTCATTAGTTTCTATTTACCTCTTTACTGCTGACCAAATTGACGTCTGTAAAGATATTTATTGACTCCAGGCTAGTTTCAAAGCAAAAAGCCCAGTACACAGTGCATTCAAAGCTAATCATATGCAAATACAAATACCAGTAGTTCTCAAACATTTAATTACAAAATAAGGCTATGTGAGTTTCAAATAAGTTTCTGATACAGTATAGAAACAGATTAAAATCTCCCTGCACCAGCTCTGGCAGAACAGAGAGTGCTAGAAAAAAGGTCCGTGATGTCAGCTCTTCCACAAGTGTGGATATTTTATACTTTTCCATTTTCTGAGTCTTGAAATGCACAGGAGTGTTTTGTTTACATTTCTGGAAGATAAAAATGAGTATATACTGCTTCCTAAATAATAATAGAAAAAGATGAAATGGCTACTCTTTGGTCCTCCTGACTTAAAAATTCCAAGGATCTTTTTGATTTGAGATTTATGTGATGCAGTATTCTTTTGGAAATCTCAAATTTCTCCACAACAGCACAGTAACAGAATATACTTTTTTCATCCGCTTATCTACTGTTCCTGCATGCCCCCTAGATAAAATCTGAAAAGAAAATTCATGGAATTAAAGCATCTTCTGCTTAAAATTGTCTCTCAGTTTTGTCCCAGCTCTTCTTAACCTATCCTTACCAAAACTGCCTTCTGCAAGAGGCCACACTGAGTGAACCAGAGCAGTGCACAAAGAGCTACTTGTAGGTACCAGAATCGCTCTCTGCTGCTCCCATGCTCCATCCTTCATTCCTTTGTTAGGTGGTAAGCCCTCAAGGAAAAAGGACTTGCCTATTAAGTGTTTAGCACTTTTGTTTAATTTGGAGGCTTTACTTAGAAGAGAAACAACAGTAACAAAACTTCACGTGTCATGAATGTTTTCAGTTCCTTCTGGAGGAGGACAGAATGAGGACAGCTTATCAAGGGGGATAATTTTGGCCTTAACGGTTTATTTTTCCAGCAACTTTTCAACAGAATTGAGAGAAAATCACAATGTAACATTGCTGGCCTCAGAAAGCCAGAGCACAGGTTACAACACTATGCAGGGTGAATAAAGCAGCAACAAGCAGCCAGGTTCTGTCTCCTCTGTCCACTCTTCTGCACACTGTAGGACTTTGCTGTTATTCACCACTCAAAGGTGCAAACAAGGGAGCAACACAGTAATGAGGAGACAAGAAACTCTCTCATATAACCAGCTCTGTGAATCCCCAGAGTCACTCAAGGAATTCAGTGGGGTTTGGATCAGTCCTGAACCTACAGAAGTTAATCATATTTTATATCAAGGACTGTGAAAATTACACAAAATGCAGTATCTGGTGACTATCCAAAAGGAAATAATTTAAGTAGCTTCCTAAAAAACATAAAAATAATCCAGTTGCATAAAACAGCTTTGATAGAACCCTAGCAGAGCACTTAACACTCTAGGAAAATATTCACCTCTTTTACAATCTCCTGGTTTTAATCACTGAAATTCTCAAAGCCTGCATAACCCCTAATGTTTCATGTACTAGACAAGAGAGAAAACATGTTATGATGAAATCTGTGTGATAGCAAAGACATATTCTCCTTCACAGTGTTGTTAGGAGAATAAATACATCAAAGCTTGTGATTTAGTCAGATGCTATGATAATGGGGGCAACAGGAGGCCATGGTCATTAATCCAGATCTGTTGAGTTTGGAATGACTCAAAAAAGAATAGTACCGCATATTTGCCAGATTACAGCACACAATACAGAATCACCAAGAGTATACAACACCTGATCTAGCATAAACTTAGAGTGGTATGGACAGGCAATATCTATCTGGCAGAAAGCCCGACAAGATAAAGCGCTAAGGTATCCAATTTTGTTAGCACATTTGAACTAGTAAAGTGAGTTTATACCAGATCAGCATTTAATACCAGAAGGCCGCAGTGTTTCTTATCTGGCATTAAGCATTCTAAAGCCACATTTACTGTATTGTGAATGCATGGCTTAGATATGTGCATAAAATTCTTTTGTATCTTTCAGAGTTTCTAACATAACAAAAGAAAAAATAAAAAATATTCTTTTATTGCATGGCTACTCATGATTTCTCATAATTTTGTCTTGATGGTACTTTAATTGACTAAAACCATGCTTAAAGACTCTTCCTGGTTGGCAATACATTAGAAAGCCTCAAGTTACACATCCCAGGGGGAACAACTGATAATAAAATCCTATTTCTGGAGGTCACTGGTAAAGATTCATATTAAGTTTTTTTCATTCTGGTACATATGAGACATAAACTACACAAGATATAATTTCCAGCATGGCAATCCAGGGTCATGAATGTCAGAAAACACACTGGCTACAGAAACTTGAGCCTTTTCTTTTCTTGAATATAAACACAGCTGTTAGCAATGGAAAAATTCAAACAAGAATGAACTCTTAAAGCACAAAAAAATTCTAAATCAATTTAGAGAATAAGCAGAAGGATTGGTTGGTGCAGATGCATTTTACAAGGTATACAAGTTATGTCTTACAATCTGTCTTCTCTGGATTACATTTTTAGGCAAAATTTTCTTACCTTTATGTTGACCTAGATTTCTGAAAAAGGTCTTAACAAAAATTATATGAGTACTTGCTCATGAGTTTTTTTATTTAATTTTCTATCGAACAAGAAAGAGAATATATATTCCTGAGAAACATTGCCCAGTGTTTGAAATTAGATATCTCCTTTGAGATACTTGCAGATCTGAGAAAATTCTGGCATTGTAGGATTTTAACTCTGGAAGTGGGTGCAAAGATGGGATTCTCCCATGAACCAAACCATCCTAACAACTCAGTTTAGAGCTATAGTAAAAAGTAATGAGGCATAGTAAGAGTTAGAGCAAAGGTGTTGGCTCTGAGAACTTGATGTTCACATTGGTCTGTATTTGAAATTAGAGTCTGGAAGACTATATTGAACTAAGTTTGTCATAGTTCAGTGGGACTGAACACCTAGTAATGATTAAAGAAGATTAGATGTCCTTCTGGAAAGCATCTCCTGTTTTCATTTCAGCCAAAAGCAATCGAGTTCACATAGCCTGAGATACACTCCACAACGAGCAAGCGTGACAAGTGGGAATAATTAGCAGATTCATTTCAAAAGCAGACTCGATTGAAATCGAAATGCTAATGTGTGCTCACCCTCAGGCTGCTACTTAGACACTACTGTAATAGAGGCAGAGTAAAGGGCAGGGGAAACTCTACCTCAGAGTGAGTACTGCTCGCTTTTATTACATCCAAAGAGGTCTGCTAAGGGTTCTGTAAATGCAGCAATGAAAGACTGAAAAGTCAATGCTACTTCAGGTCATCTGGTTCATTCCCAGCTATCCATAACCTGCAGCAGTCTTTGCCTCAAATGTATTTTTGAGCTATTATTTTGCATAATATAAATGTAATAAGGAAATCCAGTACATGACATAATTACAACAATGATCTTAAAGCTCCATCAGTTTTTTCAGTCACTGAATGTATATACCAAAGGACCCAACTTCTTGAATCCATGCAGAAGATTCATCTGTTGCATTATTTTTCTATCCTTATGTTATAGTACTATTGATCCCACTTCTTCTCTAAGATTAACTTTAGACAATAAATGATAGTAGAAACTGCTAAGGAACAAGGAAGCAAAGGAGGATCATTTGGGAACACGGAGCCAGGGACATTGTATAGTTTTCAGAACTGCTGAAAACCTGTAACAGTCACAAACGTTCAGCCTCTTTTGAACGTTTATGTAGACATAAACACATGGCAGTAGAACTTTCAGAAGTGCCAAGGGGAACTTGTTCAATCCAGCTAATTAATATAAATGGGAGCTAAGTGCCTTATCTGTTTAAGTGCTTTTGAAAAATCCCACAATGCTTCTATCTGCACTTTTCACCATCTAAATACTTTGGAAAACCTGCCCCAAAGTGATCTAAAAGTTCAAATGTTACAAAACTAACTTCAGGGGAGCTTAACTTTAGGCACACATTTTTAAGCAAAATTCTCACAGGGGAAAGAAATGACAAAAAAGCTAAATTCAGACAAAAGAAAGACAGAAAAGGATTTTTCTTTTTCCACTGAAAAGGAATGAAAAAGTTTTATGTCTCTTCAGCCCTTACTGATCAAAATATCTGGGTTGCAGACCCTGCTAGGGCTGGGTGAGTGTCAGATTATTAAGTAGCCTTAGATAAATTTAGTTTCTGGAAGACTGAGTCACCTTCATTTTCATGTGCCATCTTCTAGCTGCTGTTCAGTACAGCACGATACATGACAAGGCAAAGATCATGGTTAAATGCATCTGAATTAATCTCCTAGGTTAGATGGACTGGAGTAGCCCAGCTCTGTATATATTATTAATAACACTTTAAACATTATTATTATTATTATTTGAGTAGCTTCTCTGACTTTGGAAAGTGTTTGATACATTGATGTGCTATGATGAAGTACCTAACACTCCCCTAAGATGAGGTTCCATTTTCTAGTATTCCAATACTTACCAGAGTGAAAACATCAGAAAGGGTATGACAGCATGTCTGTAACACACATACTCATTTTCTGTGAAATGCATCATGATACAAAAAGAGAATGGCTTCATTGCTATTTAAATAGACATTAAAATCATCTCCATATGAGATATCTGCCTGACGGAGCTGCAATTTGCTTTAATTTGCAGCAGTGAGATTCACAGTTCACTAAACCATTAAAATACAGACAAAATGCCATTTCATAACAAAATAGAATAAACACCTCTATCCTTCATGAACATTACAAA